TGCGACCTGATCCAGACAAAACTGCTGCTGTCGCCGCCTTCCCTGTCCCATCAGATAAAAGAGCAGTACGCCGTTTCCTCGGCTTGTGCGCGTATTATCGCCGATTTATCGCCAACTTCTCTAAGATAGCTGAACCTCTTACGCGACTCACCCGAGATGACGTACCCTTTACTTGGGGCGCAGAACAAGATACAGCGTTCACAGAGTTACGACAGAGAATGCAAACAGCCCCTGTTCTTGCCCATTTTGATGAGGACGCTGCTACAGAAATTCATACGGATGCCAGCAACGTCGGACTTGGCGCTGTCCTTGTACAACGACACGGCGGCGTTGAGCATGTGATAGCTTACGCCAGTCGTACTCTTTCTCGAGCTGAGACCAACTATTCTACGTCAGAAAAAGAATGCCTCGCAGTCGTGTGGGCGACGACCAAATTTCGGCCTTACCTCTACGGTCGTCCCTTCAAAGTGGTGACTGACCACCACTCGCTCTGCTGGCTGGCAAATCTCAGAGATCCCTCCGGCCGTCTCGCACGGTGGAGTTTGCGTTTGCAGGAGTTTGACATTACGATTGTGTACAGGTCAGGGCGCAAACACGAAGACGCCGACGCGCTTTCTCGAGCACCTGTGGGGAACGCTGTCAGGGGCTCCGAAGATGAAGATGCCTTTCTCGGAGCAGTTAGTGACTCCGAATTTATGTCAAAGCAGCGGGCAGACGATGAATTACGCCCAGTCATTGATTCCCTGGAAGGCCGCAACTCTCAGGTCCCTCAACACATTGCTCGCGAACTGTCCTCTTTTTGTCTAAGAAGAGGCATTCTTTACAAGAAAAACGCCCGTGGTAGCGACAAGGCCTTCCTACTCGTTGTTCCTACCGACATGCGTGATGAAATCCTCCTGGCGTGCCACGACGAGCCCACGTCAGGACACTTGGGCTATTCGCGAACTCTCGCCCGAGTACGCCAACAGTATTACTGGCCGCGACTATCAACTAGTGTACATCGATATGTGAAAGGCTGCCGTGAGTGCCAGCGCCGCAAGACTCCGCCGGTGAGACCCGCGGGCCTGCTCCAGCCGATCGCACCACCACGGACACCGTTTGACCTCGTGGGAATGGACCTTCTCGGGCCCTTCCCTTTGTCGTCCTCTGGAAACAAATGGATTATAGTTGCGACAGATTATCTTACGCGTTATGCTGAAACAAAAGCGTTACCCCGTGGCACGGCCTCTGAAGTCGCGCAGTTCTTCGTGCACCAAATCGTCCTACGGCATGGTGCCCCGTCATGCGTGATTACGGACAGAGGGACGTCGTTTACAGCACGAATGATGGAGGACATTTTTAAACTGAGCTGCACAAGTCATCGAAAAACAACGGCTTATCATCCGCAATCCAACGGACTGACAGAGAGGCTTAACAAGACCATAGCGGACATGCTGTCAATGTACGTGGACGTACAACATAAAACCTGGGACGAGATTCTTCCATACATCACGTTTGCTTATAATACGGCAACGCAAGAAACAACGCGATTTCCGCCTTTCCGACTTGTTTACGGACGCAACGTGCGAACCATGCTCGATGCTATGCTTCCGTGCGACGAAAGCAATGAACTTGCTCAAGATGCTGAGCAATACACTCAGTACGCCGAAGAAGCTCGTCAGCTAGCTCGCATAAACACCAGTCACCAACAAGATGCAGACGCACGACGTTACAACCTCCGCCATCGAAATGTCACCTACCACCCTGGGGACCGAGTGTGGGTGTGGATCCCTGTCCGGCGACCAGGCTTATCCGAAAAACTCCTAAGCCGTTATTTTGGACCGTACAAGGTTCTCAGACGAATCACAGATCTTACCTACAAGGTATTTCCGGACGGCGCAGCGTCTTCTCGTCGACAGCTTCGGCCCGAAACCGTGCATGTCCTTCGGCTGAAGCCCTACTTCACACAGTAGCCCTTGTGGTTTCACGTGCTACGACATGCCGTGACATTGCGTTGCTGCTGCTGTTTGTGTTCTCGTGTGTTTTTATGCCCTTTCTTTTTGCGCTTGGCGGAAGCGTTGGCGAAACTTCCTCATTTGCTCTGCGAGTAGTGGCACTCTCCTTCTTTTAGTTCTCTATATCTGCGTGTGTATACCTTCATTTTTTTTTATTTACCAGCATCGAGTCGATGCTTTCAAAGGGGGGGACTATTGCCACATGGTTTGCTTGGGTGAGATCGAAGGGTGAAAGAAGACGTAGACGATCTCTCTCTGAGCCGCTGCTTGAGTAGTCGACTAAACGAGCCCATTTTTTTATCAAGTTTGTCGAGAGTAACGTGACAATATATATATATATATATATATATATATATATATATATATATATATATATATAACAAATAAATAATAATGAATGACAGAACCGCATAACGGAGACTGCTAGAAGACAAGCGCGTTGGAATGCTATCGGGATTCGCCAGTGCCCGTGGAGAGGCTAACATGACAAGACCGAACAGATGGTCTTATTGTCGATAGACACAGAAGCCGAAAGTTGGGCGCACAAGCTGGAGCAATCGTCAAGTCTTTTTAATGCAAAGTTGTAAAGAAGTAAGAAGAAATTTTAAAAATGCCAGCATCAGCCCTAAATTGAGAATAAATAAAATATTTTCACGCGTGCGGCTATGTGTTCACTGTTGAATTAGTTCCATTATCATAAGAACGTCGGGATGGAAAAAGACGAAAACATTCAAAAGTGCACGAACGCAAGCAGTTCTGTTCGCATTTTGCAGCATTTCATCGCTGCAAAATGTGGATGGAGAGACTGCAAAAAGTATGGTTTATATTAATGAGGCTTAGAAGGTGCCCTGTGCTTTCCTTGGCTTCATTATCTGTTTACGTATGTGTATTGTGCTTTGTTTGTGTCAGTGGATACACTTGCATTTAGGAAGCCAGCATCTATGCTTAAAGAAGTCGGCAGCCATGTTCACATCACTGTACACGGCGAACACACACAGCAAACACACACAAAAAACATGCCCTACGCTTTCCTTAGCTTCATTATCTATTTACTTACATGTAATGTGCTTTGTTTGTGTCATTGGATACACTAACATTTAGGAAGCCAGCACCTATGCTTAAAGAAGTCGGCAGTCATGTTCACATCACTTTACACGGCAAACACACGCAGTGTAAGAACTGCATGAAGCTATATGTGCATTGTCGGTCACATTTCGGCGCGCACACTGTGGACGCGAGAACAGAAGGCTAGGAGACAAACAAGCGCTTGTTTGTCTTCTAGCCGTCCATTCTCCATCCACTGTTCGCGCTGAAATGTTACCAAGAATGTCGTCAAACCAACTCTCCCAACTTTCTATTTTATTACATTATGTGCATTATTGTCTGTACACTGAAAAATTAACTGTATATGGCACATTAAAAAAAAGAAAAACTGCCAGTGAAGTGCAACTTTTTACTGCCTCTAGCCTTACTTCGACCTGTAACATATAGTACTGCCATTGTACCTTGAAATGTTTTTTGATGGAGGCAAAAATGCTGTAGGCCTGTGGACTCAGATTTGGGTGCACGTTAAAGAACCCCAGGTGGTCAAAATTTCCGGAGCCCTCCACTACGGCGTCTCTCATAATCAAATGGTGGTTTTGGGACGTTAAACCCCACAAATCAATCAATCAATCAATATGATAGTTTTGCGACATTAAGCCCCGCATATCAATCAACATTGTAATGTTGATGCACATGCTGTGACAGTGCAATTGTTACACATATATCATTCCAGCTCTGTGGCCAACAAACTATAATTTTAAACCTTTGATTGAAGATTGCATGAAAACCGTCAGGCTTGTGCAAAGCGTGCAGCAGTCACTTGAAAGCTGAAACAGTGGCCTTTCTTGAGCATTTTTTAAACTCTTTGGGTAACTGCTACAAGCACACTTGCAGGGTACCTACAACGCCAAATCATAATTTTTTTGTAGTAGGGAGGCATTTATGCCTTTATTCATCATTCTTGAGAGAAGTGTGGTACCAACTAGGCGCTTGCAAGAAATTTTGTGCAAATTTTTTTATGCTATGGCTCTCAACGAAGAATTGTGCCTGAGGCTTTTTTAATGGATTGGTGCATTCGACGGCCTGCTAGTTATGCAATTCACATTGTATGATGTCTGGTTGTTCCTTTGCTTATTTAAAATGCTTTATTATTCATAATAAACGATTCCTTTCTCGACATGAAGCCTGCCTCGGGTCAGTTTGCTGAGGAGTTCCTAGCGCCGCCGGGGCTCAGTGGGAGAATACTCGACTAGCACAGAGGGGACCGAGGTTCATATCTCATTGTGTCCTTGGTGTTCTTAATTATTCTTTTTTCTTTCGTGCGATTGTGCTTATGGACAGCGGACAACTACAGCACCGAAAACAACTTTTGTGATGTCATAACATCTTTCAATGTAAAAGTATTATTAGTCATGTTTCATTGCTATGCTGCACTACTAATCATAGTATCTGGGGTTTAACATACCAAGATCACGATATGATTGCGAGGGAGACCGTAGTGGAGGGCTGCGCAAGTCCGACCTCCTGAGGTTCTTTAATGTGCACCCTAATCTAAGTACACTGGACTGAAACATTTTTTACTTCACGAAAATACAGCCGCTGCAGTATGCTGCACTAATATATCTTGCTCAAGTATTTATAAACTTATTAAGGATCAACTTTCATTGACGATTGATATATTTAGCCTCAGCTGGATTTGTAAGAGGGTAAATTACTGTAGTCTTGATAGGTGTGTGTTCACACATTAGAATAAGAGAGTCTAACTTATGCAACCTAACAACAGCTAATCGTACTGTAGGGAAGTTAGCCTTTGGGATAAATGGGAACCATTTGAAAAGTATTATATAAAGGTAAATTTTCATTTTCTTGGCATTGTATACAGCACCTAATATTCTTTGTGGTGTGTATGTGGTACATATTTCACTTAAATTCGTCCTCACAAACTTTTTTTTGTTTCTACAGAGAGTGCATCACGCCGAACACCCTCATTCAGCCAGTACTTCTGCCTCGACTTTATCCGTCACTTTCAACACTCTATGCTCTGAACAATGAACAAGAAGATCGGCACTACTGGGAACGCCTCCTCAAATGGAACAAACAGTCTGACTTGGCCTTAATGACCTTCCTTGGGGTGGATGAGTAAGTGTCTTCGTTATATCTTCTGTGGATGACAGCGTTCAAGGTATTTCTAAGGGCCCTGCTGCTGAAGTTACTAATAGCACTGTTTAATGGGAGCACGCTGCAAAGGTGACTGCTTGCTTGGTGGGCCATGAAGTTGAAGGGGCCCTGAAACACTTTTTCAAGTAACCATGGAATGAATTCACTGGAAAAGCTTATTGCCTCACGAATTCAACACCGCAAAAATGATAAGAATCCGTCCAGTGCGAGTGGAGTTACAAAGGCTTGTCGCACGCTGACAACACATTCTCTCTTCTCTCGTCCCAACAAAAACGCTGGAAGCTAAGCAGGGAGGGATGGCAGGGCCACTGAAATACATCACGCATGCCTCACGACCTTGAGCACTTTTTTTTTTCTTTGAATGCGTGACTTTTTCAGTGTGATCGCACGCGCACACACGGGCAAGTCGCAGCCTCCTGCAGCGATCTCTGTAACGACCGAGCACGCCATGTTCAAAGCAGCCATTGGCTGATAGATGGGTTTGCTACGTGTAATTTTTGAGCATCTTTTGTCATTTGTCGAGAGAAGAGAAGGCAATTTTTAGCTGACTTCGATAATTTATTCTGAATTCCAGGCCGCATGGTGGACTATAATACTTGGCTCGCATGTTGTCGGGAGCCTCTACTACCGGTCGGCAGCATTTTCTGACCATGCTCAAAAAGTGTTGCAGGGCCCCTTTAAAGGGTACCTGTAGCAACTTTTGTTATTGGCTTTGATACCTGAAAAAGTTGTTCAGATTTTGGCTCTGAGAGACATTCTCACAAAAGTCATGTTGTTGTACACTATGTATAAATGAGTTGAAATAGAATGCAATAAATTTTTATTTCCAGAATTACAAGGGTTCTGGCGTAATACCATTGGCTAAAAGCCGTTGTCGAACGCCTTGACTGGGTCGGTGGTTTGTTACAAGACGTATGTGGCAGTTGTATGAAAAAAGAAATAGCAACATTGGCAGAAACTCAAAAATGAATTGTGTTCACTCAAATGTACTAAACAACATGTAAATATTATAAGAATAATGAAAACTAAATTCAGTGCACAAGAAGACAGGAAATCATACACAGTTGGCTCTGACAAGGGAAACATTGAAAACAAGAATTGCATAAAATAGGAATTTCATTCAGTCATCACATGTTTACAAAGTGCGTCCAGGGTTTCTTCGCTGAAAAGCACTTGACATATTTATACTGATTTAAAATATGTGGCAAATTGTGCTGTAATAATTGTAGGCTATATTTATATTATGAAATACAGGAACATATCACATGTAACTATTTCTGGTATTGGCGGAAGTGATTCTAGATGTCAGTGATGCAGTAGACACGAGAGAACTTTTGAAGGCTTTTTTAGAGAAATAAAATAAATAAAGCAGGCAAAAAGGGTAGAGATGTTCTATTCTAATAATTTTATGATTTAGGAAAGCTGGCCGTGTTGTCTCCAAGAAACCCATATTGTCAATGTGCCAAATCATCTTCCTTTGCAATGAAAATATTTTCATAATGTTTGTTTTTCCAGTAGTCTCCTAGAGTAAGCTACAATAAATGGGAAGAAAATAAAGCATAATAAATGTTAAGTTTTGCTTTCAGTGAAAGAAGATACCTACATTTAGATAAAACACCTGTGATAGCTGAGAGTTTTTTGGAGCTATTTTCTACGTGTTTATCCTAAGTAAAGTGCAAAGAAAAAGTAACGCCTAATAATTTATGCTCAACAATTTGCAGTTCTTTACCAGCAAACGTTAACGTTTGTTTGCAAGTCAAAGATTTGTTTTTAGTGCGAAATAACATTACTGCAGTTTTCGTAGGATTTATCTTTAGGCAGTTAGCAATCGACCATTCATATAACTTAACCAGTAGATCGTCGCATTGTTCCATGAATTTCTGTGAACCGGACCAGAAACAAGAAATGTAGCGTCATTGGCCTATATTTGAACAGAGTTATTGATACTAGTAATGCCATTAACGTAGAGGTTAAAAAGCAGCGGACACGCTACCTTGTGGCACGCCGTTTAGTGTGGGAAGAAAACATGATTTTTTTTTTTTCATCTTTTATGCAAACTGATTATTTGCGATCAGTTGGATAAGACTCTAATAATGTTGATGGAATACCTCTAAGGCCATTCTAATGAAATATCTTTAAGGAACACACCCAATTGCACTGGGTGTGCACCTTAACTCACATCCCTGGGGTCTGTGTCAGTGCCCTGCTTCCATCAGTGTTGTGTACTTATGGGTGATTTGAACCTGTTATCTTCCCTTATTCTTTTTGATAGCCATTTTCATTAGTGTGGCAATGCTGGCCTCACTAAGAAGTTCATAGCTCACAATTCTCACAGTGTGCACTTGCTGGGCCCACATGAAGCTATAGACAAAGCTATATACAAAGCAAATGCACATTGTATTATGAAGGGCTGGATCATCAGTGTCTTTTGGCAAAAATATAAGTGCAAGCACGGCAGCCCAGAGCAGAGGCATCCAAGCAGAGACGTCCAAGACCCACACCGGGAACTACCTTAGAATGTTGCCTTCAGTGCAGTCTATATTTCCTGGCATTCAAGCATTCAAGCTTAATGTACATTAATGGTGAGAACATGTGTTGGCACTGCAGCGCTGTGTATTACACATTTGGCAAAGCAGCAGTCTGTAATTTGTTACTAGGTACTAAAACATTTTACATATACAGTTGAACCCCTTTATAAGAGGCATGCTGTGGGCAGCAATTTTTGTCTTTTATATGAGATGTCTCTTATAAGCAGGGTACTTTGTATGCATTTTCTTATCTACCCATATTTTGCTGCAGGCACACTGGTGTCTCTTATACCCATTTGTCTCTTATATTAGTGTCTCTTATAAAGGGGTTCGACTATACTGCAGATTCTTCATTGTGCCATGAACTATATTAAGCGTTTTCATTAAATATTTATTACTTCTGTGGGGTCCTTTACATTGATTGATTGATATGTGGGGTTTAACATCCCAAAACCACTATATGATTATGAGAGACGCCGTAGTGGAGGGCTCCGGAAATTTAGACCACCTGGGGTTCTTTAACATGCACCCAAATCTGAGCACACGGGCCTACAACATTTCCGCCTCCATCGGAAATGCAGCCGCAGCCGGGATTTGAACCTGCGCCCTGCGGGTCAGCAGCCGAGTACCTTAGCCACTAGACCACCGCGGCGGGGCGTCCTTTACATTTAGCCTATTAGACGAAATGTCTTTAGATTCTTATAGACTGCTAGTTTATTCTGGTGAGCATCTGTTTGTTTAGTAAATGGTGTGTCATTGCTTTTTTTTGTGGTATGTATTTCACATTTAACACTATGGTCACATACAAGTTCGTTTTGTCAATACTGTGCTCTGCCTAGTAGTTTCACTTGATATTCTAAGCATCCCTGTTTGCACAGATAAAGCATGAGGCATATTTCTCTGTGCACTTCTGTTTTGTTTTCTTCTGAATAGCTGTACATTGTGGAGGGGAAGCTACTAGTTAAAGAATTAACTTCACTGCTTTTTTTCTCCACCCAAGTATGTCTGCATTTGCTTGTCTGTCAGTACATCGCATTCTTCGACAGGTCTGAAAAATACCTCTATTCCATAGGCATGCGCAGGATTCCCCGTCAAAGGGTGCAAAGCTTGGTCTCAGTGCCCCCTCCACCCCAATAAATCAGTGTGTGGAGCAGATTTCACACCTTCCCCTCCCTCCTCCTGTGCACAATCCTATGCTCTACCTCCATATCATGGACGTAGCCAAGGGGGTGAGGAGGCTCCCCCCGCATTCCTGAAATTTCTCAGTTTTGTTTGCTTACATGTACACATACACATACAAACATGCACAAATACACATGAAGTATGGTTGAACCCTTCCCCCCTCCCCCCCCCAAAAAAAAAAAAACTGGCTATGCCACTGACCTATATACAATAACATTTTACTTAACAATCATGCACTGATATTTTTTTATATCTCTCTCCTTTTAGAAAATTTATGAGCTCGAAGTTTCATGATAACATTTTCACAATGGAAAGGAATGTGAGTATTTTATTTATTTGAAAAAGTGCATTAATATCTATGTGACACAGTGGGACATAGAAATTAATGTTTGTTTTTTTAGCTTCAGCGTATGTCAAGCATCAAAGATGAATGCTTCACAAATGCTATTGAAGCACTGCAGCACATCAGGCAAGTGAATTTTTCTTGCATGGCTCTCGTTTATTTAAGTTACAACACTGTGTATTGTTGGAAGGTGTAGGTAGAATGGGACCAGAATAAAAACCCACACTTCAGATTGGTCCATGAAGCCTTAGAAAAACCAAAAATAAAACAAAGTTCAATCAAGAGATTTGTGAGAATCTGTCAGGCAGTTGCTTTATTTTTAATGTATTGTTATATACGCAATTATTATTGTGGTACTGCATACCACAATAACAGGTGATACTGCCTTCAGCTGAACTCGATTTTTCCGACAGATTTCAGAACTAGCACATGCATTGAGAGTTTGTCCAATTGTGCAATGTGACATACGGTGCATTTTTCGCGCATGTGTGGCATGTGGATATATTGCAGTGGTTTCGTAAGAATAAAGTTACGAGATGATGCTCTTCCCTTTTCACCTATTCTTCCCCAGTGGTTTGCATCATCTCATCTTCATGTAGTTTTCTTGTTATTCTTCAGTTGAATAGCCCTGAATATGTATTTGGAGTTTCAATACTGTCCTCTGGCAAAAAATCCCATGGGGTACAAGTATTGGCATTTGTTGCTACAACATAAAATTGTACCCTTGGGCAGTTATGAAGGGGGACAAAGTTGGTGGATGACACATGTTATTTTTCTCTTTCCACTTGCACACACTGAGAGCTGGTGTTTTTTCGAATGTCTGAGCTTGGCTATTACATAAGGATCTATTTTTCTGAAATGTGCATTTTTATACCAACTATACTAGCTTATTTCTGCTCTGTTGTACCAGTGGCTTGATCAGGAATGATAAGCACAATAAAAGCTAGAACATTATCTTATTACAGCATACGAGTATGTTTTGTTTGAAACCCTAAAGAAGGGCTTAAAATGGTTTGAGTCAGTTTCCTTCATTCCTGTGCTTTCCTAATCTTTGAAGAAGATAGGGGGGACTTTTAACCCAGATTTGTTGTCTTGTTCTTTGATTTTTATTATTTTTTATTGCATACAGTTAAACCTGGATATATAAAGATATCGACGAATTCCCAGAAAATTCGTTATAAAGCAGGTTTTCATTATGTGCAGTTTCAGCATGAAAATTTGAAAAAGAGATGCACGGATTCAACAAAAGGGGAACTGAAGGCAGAGCTCTATCAAAATATTTATTCAGAGGTAAAAACTGCATTATTATTGTGATGGCAACTATATGGACACTCTCAACGAGTTTTTTCCATAATGTTCCCTATAAAGTGCAAATAGATAACATCCCCGCCGTGCATCAGCAGGGATCAAATAAGCAGGCCCATGTCCACAGCGGGAAGCATGCATGTGATATTATCCCCCCCACGCATTAGACCTGCCAGCAAATGCTCAAACACCCCACCCATTTTGTACGAGCATGAAACGACATTGAGAGAGGGGGGGTTGCTCGAGCAGCAACAGTGAGCTTTGATTCGAAGGGCGCAGTCACAATCGCTGACGCGTGCGTTATTTACGTGCTGCGCTCTCAACGTAAAGGGACTTTGCGGAAGGAGCATTTCTCTCTGTAGCAGCCCTATCCTCTCCCACCAGTGTTTCGTAGGGTTATGCGATATTGGATTCAAAGGAGTTAGCTGCCAGCCTCACTTCGTATAAGTGCTTCATAGACTGTGAGGCTTAGTTAGCTGCCAGCTATCACATTGATTGTCTCGCCTTTGGGGTGAAACTTTTTTTTTTGCTCTATTGAACGTTCGTAGGGCATCAATACCATGCGCTGCTCTGTTATCTTCTAGCTATGGTCTTCAAGATTGGCTTCAGCTATGTGGGTGGCGATGTGGGCTTGTTGATTGGTCATACTTGTACAAGTTGTGGGGTCTCAAAATGGAGAGGGACCACGCTATTGGAGTGAACAGACACAGCAGACACGGTCGGGACAAACCAAACAATACACACATTTATTTAACTACTATTGATCAACGTTATCGTCAGGCAAATAATTATACATCATCAATTGTGATTCATATGCTAAACAACCTTACAAAATATTGCCATACACTCAACAACATAACATACACAAGATGGCGAACGCTTGACTCACCACGAGGGCCCCGGCAGACGGCCCGCGGTGCCGTGCACCGGGGACACACCGCGAGAGACAACCGTTTGCATCAACTGCCAACAGCGAAAGAGTGTCGCTTGTTCTGTCTCTGCCGCCACCAAGGCTTGCCTATCGCCAGGGGTCACCACCGGCGCTACCGCTCTAACAACCATGATGATGATAGCGGTGATCTACGCTCGCGAACACAACACCACCGACCACACGATAGTTGTGACCCCTGAATGCGGCTTCTGCGCGAGACACGTGTGCCACGAGGCGCCAACAACTTCATAGGGGCTATCAGCACCCCCACATCCCTCTAACCTTAATTCAAACCATATCCCGAAAAAAGAAACATGAAAGAAATCAGCTACACAAGCTCTAACAAAAAAAGTGACAACATATGTCCCTACATAATGTCCGTGAACCAGACATCGCCGCCAGTCGACATTGCTGCGCTGTCCGGCTCGACGACTTCACCTCAGTACCGGTCCCGCAACAGCAACGTTGCCATCGGCACGACGAACCGTCACTCACCCCAACACATCTACTGGTTGCGACCAGCACTCACAAGGGCGCCGGACTGCAGGCAGTTGCGCAGATTCCAGGCATGTCCATCGCCCGACCTTACGATCGCATTCCTGGCCAGCGGCGCTGACGTTGTGCAGAAGACAGCCAGCCGCAGGTTACATCACTCTCACCGCGTGCATTCAAAACACTCGAAAGAACAATGCAGTAGAGCAAAAGGAAAGGGAGCTTCGGGCTGCTCGCCCACGTGGTACGATGGTCAGTACTACTAGCTAATACTACTAGCATCGGTGGCAGCCGAGACGCCTAGCTCAAAAATAAAACGAAGGTCGCTTTTCTTAACTCGTACATCGCAAGATAAAAAAAAAGCGAGGGAAGCAGAGTGCAACACTTCAATGCCACGATCCACCTAGTTGTACCATGCGCGACAGGTAGCTGCGCAGATCCTTACACCTAATGAGTCGCTTGACAACAACCGGCATCCACCCAGCACCCAGCCTAAGCGTAGAAGAGGCAGCCGCAAGGAGACATTCACTCTGTAAGGTGGCCCTATCACTCGCCGCACACAGCAGCTTACTGAGCGATCGGCGTCCACCGTCCCGAACGGTGTCGCGACGTCCCGACATCGAGCCGCAATACAATACAGCAACAAGGCCCGGCTCCCTGAGCCCAAAAGAGATAGAAGAAGCTATTTACAAAAAATCGGACCATCCACAAGGCTTCTATACTCACTCGCTTCAGGCTTGGCCTTCAATTCACGTGCTCTAAGCTTTGCTCACCCCAGGATGCAGACCGCATGGCTCTCATACCAACTGAACAACATTCTTTAAAACCAACGACAACAACAAAAAAAACACTTGCGAGCAGAAAAAAAAAACAACTCAACGTGCCGACAAGTTCAAACACGCCACAAAAAAAAAAAATGATGTCCTCCTTCTCACTGCCTACGCTAGCAAAGATGTCCCCCTAGGCCTACTCTACCCCGGCTCCAAGAAAAGCTTCTACCGAACCCCGAAAACTGTTGTCTGATGCTCCAAGAGCCCTACGTTGGGCGCCAGTGTGGGGTCTGATAGTGGACTGCGCCTTCACGCTTTTGGAGTGAACGGACACAACAGACGCGATCGAATCAAACCAAAGCAAACACGCATTTATTTAACTACTTTTGATCGTTGATATCGTCAGGTAAATAATTATACATCATCAACTGTGATCCATACGCTAAACAACTTTACACAATATTACGATACACTCAACAACATAACATACAATAGGCGGCGAACACTTGACTCACCACGAGGACGCCCGGCCCCCCGGGTGCCATGCACCGGGGACACACCGTGAGAGACAACCGTTTGCACCAAACGGCACCAGTCGAAGAGACTCGCTCAATTCTCTCTTTCTACCACCAAGGCTTTCCGCTAGTGGTTACCGCCGGTGCTACCAATCTAAGCATGATGATCATAGCAGTGATCTACGCTCGCGAACACAACGCCACCTACCGCACGATAATTGCTACCCTTAATTGCGGCTTCTGCGTGAGACACTTGCGCAACGAGGCGCAAACAACTTTACAGGGGGTGTCAGCACCCCCACAAAGTTGAGCACACAAAAAGATAAGAGGGAGAGTTGGACGAGAGGAATTGTGCACACATGAGTTCCTGTGTGTGCACAACTCTTCCTCTTGTCTGTGTCCGTTTTTGTGTCTGTGTACACCCGGGTAACTCTGCCCAAATTATTGGCTCTGGCCTGTGTCAGATCTGGCCTGATCTGCTGTCAGGCCAGGTTGGGCTGGGTAGGCGAATCTTTTTCTCGGGTATCAATTGGGGCCCGGGTCTCGCTTTGAGTCACCGGGCCGGGCTCGAATGAGTAATCTTAAACATGTTCTGGGCCCGAGCCGGGCCCGGAAATACAGGCCCATGCAGGGCTCTAGTATGGACAACATACAGGCAACATATGGGCAACATATGCATGAAAAGGTGATGTTACCGGTCATGCCAGATCTAAGTCCCAAAGGATAACTATGCACATTCTCCTGGGTGCAGATGTTCATGATACATCTAAATGTTCCTCGAATTCTGATATATTGAGCTGAAGTTGTGGGCTGACATCTTCATTTTTGTTATTTCAGCACTGCATTTACAGCATTTGATAAGCTTCAGGCAATTCGACAGACATTTGAAGAGATCAACAAGGCAAGTGACCACACGTATTCCCTTGATTAGATTGTGCTGTCATAAGAGAGATGCCTGATTCGTTTGTGCTGTGGACCGTTTATTCAGCACCACACACACTGCAGTCATGGCTTTTTGTAAGCGCACAAGGGACTCGCAAGTCTCATTACAGAGACTAGATTTTAGGCAAATACTTATTTTCTGTCTTGTGTTTCTGTAACCTAAATATATGAGCATGAATTAGAGTTTGGCAAGGACAAGTGTTGTACAGTGCCTATATATATGCCTTCTTTTCGCGTTTGTGCCCAAATGAGCTTAAGTGCCTATAAATGCCTAATTGCCAAATTGGCACTTATGTTTAACCTCAAATTTAGCGTTAGGGTGTAAGTTGAGATCATTATTAATGTAATAGCGTTAAAGAGCTCATTTCACAGAAATTTGTCTGGCAGTGTTAGCATTGTTAGTTGTGAGGAAGAAATTAGCACTGCCCTTAATCGAAAATTCGAGATAGATGCAAATGAATAATTAACGAAAATGAAAATATTTGTGTCAAGTGGAAACCGAACGCAGGAATTTAGTGTCGCAAGAAATTTGTATACCACATAGCCACGCATATGCTCAAAATCTTTTCTTAACACTACATGAATGTCATGTAATGCGAGGCACAGTATTAATGAGAACTAACAGATAATAATGCCAGGGATAGTGTAGGGGTTGTTAATAAATCTGATTGTAACATAAATGTGAAAAAATAAAAGTGGACGAAAAGATGACTTGCCACCAGCAGGATCCGAACCTGCGACCTTCGAATAATGTGTCTGATGCTCTACCATTGAGCTACGGTGGCGGTCATCCCTCCGTCCACTTCATAGTGTATATATGTGCATTTAAATGTGGGAGCTTCAGTCAGCACCTGAAGCTCCCATGTTTAAATGCACATACTGTATACCCTATATATCTGCAGTAAGAAAGAGTAGCTTCAGTCAACGCCTGGAGCTACACTTTCCTTCATGTAGTGCAAGGAGTGTTATTAATATGTAATATTGTGTAACAGAAGCATAGAATAACACCAGGTGTTTTAACATGTGGATTGTGCAACTTGTGTTTGACACAGGCCTCATTAATTATCATTATCAACAACAGTAACAACATGTGCACCTGCACAGGTGCACGTGTTTCCTTATCGACACTTTGTGGCTACCTCGCTAACCTGCAAACAGAGAAATTATGTCGTAGTGGGAACATCGCAATTTTACTTGCAGGAGGCATTCCAGGATAGTTTGAAAGAGCTAATATGGGAGCACAGAGACTTTCCTTTCCTTGTGTCATGGTTTAAAAGTTCACTGAGTAGCCTAGCTGTGCTGGTGATTGAGAAGGTGATATGAACGGGGCCCGGATTGTACTCTTGAAGGTAATAGAAGCTCAAGCATTCTCCAAGTTTGTCATGTTGCTGGGCAGCATTGATCTTTCAAAACACTATGGGGCTCATTCAACGTAGTCCTCTTGTTCAACCAACTTCCTGAAAACAACTGCTAGCCGCTGTGAAGTTAGACGTGCCGGCCACCGCGCAATGGTTCCTAGGTATACTGCCAGTATATATTCCAGGGGCCATAACCGTATGCTGCTGCGCTGACATGGCACAAGGGTTTGGCGAATGCGAAACCGTGGAGAGCTGTCAGGAGAAAGGGGAGTGAAGATAAAAGAAATAAAAATGCAATGGTCACGTGGCTTGACTCTCTATGCTATAGGAGAGACTGTGTTTTGCTAGCTATGAAAGAAAAAAGATACTTGCATAGCTACGCTCAATTTTGTGTGCCCTTGTGCTTTATAAATCTTTTTTTTTCCTGTCATAAATGCAGGTCAAGCATGTGTTCGTTTTGAAATTATTTTCTTGTATGTAACAATTCATTGTGCTTACACTTTTGATGTTGGGCATAAAATTTTTTTTGCATGTCTCTTTCTGGTGCCTAGAATGTTGTTTTGCCTGCCTATTTCTAGTGCCTAAAACGCGTTTTTTACTGACATGCTTTAGCCTTGAAATTACACAAACATGGTGTAAAAAAACACACAGCGACAAGGACAATCAGCACTTCCAACTGAATAGACGCGAGCGCTAACCCAGAAATAAATATACAACATACAGACATGCAAAGTCTTCACACAGTCTTAGCCTATCCAGCTATCAAACAATCTCTTTTTCGATGCGTACAACGTCACTGACATGTCGCTGATACACCGTTCTCCTTTCTTTTTCATGTAATGGCTTCGATAAACTCACACGCAGTTTGATACCTACGTAGCACTCAATCTAATTTACTAGTTGGAAGTGTCGCTTGCTTGTCCTTGTCATGTGTTTCTTTACTTTGTGTTTGTGTTATTTCGCGGCTTAAGTATGTGATTAAGCAAGTACGAACTAGGTCAACAGTCTTGATGCGCTTTTTTAGTGCCTGAAAATCTAGCCTCTATCGTTATTATGGCTTGCAAATTATTGCTAAACTAAAAGAGATTCATATAAGTGTTCTTTGCCTTTGTTTTACTAGTATCTCTAATAGGGTAAATATTTCTAGAAGTGCATAGGAATAAAGTGAAAGTGCACAAAATTTATTTTGGATGAAGGCTATCCTGCAGTCATTGAAAAAATATTTAAAAAAAAGAAAAGCATGCCCTTTGTGTGAGTGAAAGCTACTGTATTTGCTGGCTTTGCAAAAAACCTTCTGTTTTGTCTCTTTGTTCTCATTATTGTCAGTAATCATGATTAATTAACAAGTCAATAAATGGTCTTCATTTTTAAATTAAAAAAAATCTGTGCATTAAGAAAGTAATTGTTGGGGTTTTATGTCCCAAAGCCACGGTATGATTATGAAGGAAGTCATAGTGGAAGGCTCTGGAAATTTTTCAAATTTGAATTCTTTAATGTGTGTCTGAATCTAAATACACGGACGTCGAGCATTACAACAAAGTAACATTGCATTTCACTGCCATTGAAATGCAACTGAGATTCGACCCCACGACCTTTAGTTCTGAAGTCGAGCACCGTAATTATAGACCACCATGATGGGTAATGAAAAGATAAATGATCATTGCAAATTCCAAAAGCATGGTAAACTTGGCTTGTGGAGCATAACTGCCAAACTAATGCCAAGGAACTACGGGAAAACGCAAGAACAGATCATACATCGCCGGAATAGGGCTAAAAAAACCACGGGAAAACCCAGGGCTGGAATGTAAATGCACACTGAACCCGCTTTTATTTGAAAACAAGCACACACATACAAACAAAATATGGTGATGGATAAATGGATTATTTGAAAACAGGCACACACATACAAACAAAATATGGTGATAGATAAATGGTAACTTTTGGATATTGAGACACAAAAGGACGATTTACTATAAAAATCAGAATAGTATAGAACGATTTTTTTTTATAAACCACAACGACAATTCTCTCCCCCCCCCCCCCCATCCTCGTCTTTAATACCTGTCGGTGGTGCTGAATCGGGCAAGTTGTTATTCATGATTGTAGAATACTAACAGCTCAAAAAAGTGATGAAAGAAAACAGGGACAAATGAGCACTGAAATTCCAACTGGTTTATGTTTGTAGAAAGACAGAATTGAGAGCACTGACACATTGGAATTAACAGATAATCACATCTGTTTTTTGTGATGTGTCAGTGCTATAAGTACTGTTTCTTTTCAGAAATGAACAATTACCAGTCGGAAGTCAGTGCCCATATCTCTCAGTGTTTTACCATCATTTTGTGTGCTGTTATTCTACATTTATACCTGTCATCGGAAGAAAAAAAGTACAGAAGTCTGATCACTATGGTTGACAGTAAACTACTATGTGTCTATCTTAACTTGTCATCGTCAGCATCGTTTTCTTTTTTTAATTAGCCATTCTAGAATGTCATAGAAAATCGTACTGCTACAGGGCGGGCCTTATTTCGCACTTTTTTTTTTTAATTTAATGTGAATCTATTTAGGACCCAAGCAGCCTTTTTTGCTACTTCTCTGCAAAGGTGACTGAGAACTGACAACAGTTCACCGTAGCATCCTAGAAAAACATTCTAATTTGAAGAGGCATGTCGAAAATTGACAGCACAGTGCGAGTCGGGAGTGAGTGCGAGAAGCTTTCGCTTCTGGCAGACTGTGAAGACCTCATCACAATATGCATTCTGATGCAGAGTTTAGATGAAAACTTCATTTTGAGGCCCATGTCACGGATCCCGTTAATTAGGGAGGCGATCGCCGGGCTAATTCCTAGGGCCGAAGTATCGGCCCCCCGAACCGCACCATGAAAGCGTGGACAATTTAGAAGTGGTCCTTTTTGGCGTGCCAGCGGACGCCGGCTGTGGCTCAAAGAACAAGTCAGAGCTGAGAGTTGATAAACAAAACAAAATTATATTCTCAATAATGGCAGATCAAAACAATACACAAGTATGCACACTCCAAAATAGTTGAATACAATATGTCGCCAATCAAACAACGTACTACACAGTACAATCAGCCACACTCGAAACAACGGACACAGACAACAATACGCACTACAATGCAGTCGCATGCATCGAACAACCAAGACACTTAAAGACTAAAGAGTTAGGAACCTTATTCAGTCCAAAGTCCTTGGAACAAAAGTCTGGACGATACTCTTACGAGAATCACTCACTCAAAGTCTAGCGTTGTTGTCGTTCCGCTACCCCCGAAGTTTCTCTTCCAGGAAACCTCACGTCTTCACTTGGCCGCTTCCAAGCTTCAAACTTCTTCGCCGGAAACACGTCGACTTCACACACGCAGCTGTTGCCACGCATCTTCGCTCGATAGCGGTAGACACACGCTCTTGCCTGTAGCTCGAGCCTTCACCCCTCAGGTGGAAATCCTCTTCTTCTCCTGCTTTGTCACTACGGACAAAAACTTCGCCGACTACACGGCGGGATACCCTACGTGCTCTGGCGCTAAATTTCGTCTTCTCCTGATCTCTCATCTCGGCTGCTCGATTAAATACCTTCCGCGCGAGATT